TGCAGTCCAAGGACTCTCAAGAGTCTTCTCCAATGCCATAGTTCAAAAGCATCAATTCTTCAGGTCCTAGCTTTCTTTATGGTCCAACTCTCGAATCCATTTATGACTACTGGAAAAACCATAGCTTTGACTAGATGGACCCTTGTTAGCAAAGTAATGTCTCTGCTTTTCAATATGCTGTCTAGGTTTGTCATAGCTTTTCTTCCAAGAAGCAAGCATCTTTAATTTCATGGCTGCAGTCATCATCTGCAGTGATTTTGGGGTTGACACTGTAGTGATTCTACAGTGATTTAAATGAAGTCCATTACAGTCACATATTCTGTATTTGAAGGACTAGATCAGGCTATAGTATTAGTCTCTCAGTCATGTCTGACTCTTCGTGACTCCCATGGACTGTGGCCTGCCAGGCATCTCTGTCCATGGAATTCTCCAGGCAAGAACACTGGAGTGGGTTGATATTTCCTTCTCTAAGATCAAGCTATGACAGGCAGTAAAAATCTGTTTTCCATTATACCTAGGTAGGTGTCTTAGCAACATACTGTTTTGTTTTATGCCCACGAAGAATGAAAAAGCTCTACTGTTCACAATTTTTCACCTACATAATTCATTAGTAATTATCATCAGAAAAATGATCGGAACGGTAACTACAGACAACAAATCAATAACTGAGTTATAGTAAATAAACTACCCCTACACTGAACCATCAACTGGAACTTTGTCATTCTGTTGCTTCAGATTGCCCAGGTAAAATCTTCAGGTAGAGCTCATATATCAGCAACTTCCATTCTCTGTAGAAAAGAGGTCCAGAGTTTCCTCTCAACATAAGTAGTTAGTATTAGATCTGAGAGGGATGCCTTAAGTGTGTTATTCTCTAGCTCAGAGGGGCTGGCATGGAGGTCACATGATTGCACTCTGCTAGAATTGTAATCTACTTAACAAGTGCTTTCCCATCTCCTCTGATACCCTGAATTCCATTTACACCCTGTTTTGACCTATACCCTTTCCCCTATGACTGGCCTTTCTGGCTCAGTAGATGTCTTATAAAACCATGGGAGCAGTAAGCAAGCAGTGTTGTTAACACTTCTTCTTGGACTCACTCCAAGGTTGATGTTACAGAGTTTGACAGAGAAAGAATCACAGGACACATGGCCTTGTGTTTAGACACAGGCCTTAATTTACCTCCATGGGTGAAGCTGTGACATATTCCCAAGAGTCTTTAAGGATAGGCACTGTCAAATTCAGTAGTATTGTGTTTTCTGCACTGATAACATTTTCTTTTGGTACATGTAACTTTAAGCTCAGGCCTGGGACCAAAAGATCAGGCAAAACAAAAGAAAAAACTTGTAAAATGGGAAAAATAGATAGTTGTATACTTAAATCATCCCCCATCCCAGAAGTATTCCCAGTAGAATCTTGGCATTACTTGCTACCATAGTCAATGTTAGCATTAAATAATTTAATTAAGCTAATCATTAAATCTTTTTTTCCTTTCTGGCCATTTTAATTAACTAGTGCATCAATTTCCTGTTTCAGTCTTCAATTATATTGCTGCTCTACGGATGTTAACAAATGCAGCACACCTGTGAGATATTTCTTGTCCATTTCTGTGTATTTATAGCAGTGAAATATATACAATGGTCAGATTATATTGACCAAAGGATGGGCCAAAGGATGGGGAATTGGCTGCTCCAAACTTTAACCATACTTCCCAATGTTGCCTAAGTTAAATCCAGCTTAGTGTTAAACAGGTATCATCCCAGTTAACACTCATTTGCAGCCTCTTGGGGCTTTTGGTAAAGGTCCAATATAGACTACTTGCCAGCTAATGTTCCAGTTCTTGGCTTTGGGAAATTTTTTTTATTCATTGCCATGTTTGTTTTCATTTTTAAAATTGGCTTTAAAATAAAATACGCCAATTTAAAATTTCAGTAAATATATACAGGCATGCAAGCATCAACATAATTATACAGAATATTTCCACCACTCTAAAAAAGTTAATGAGAAAAGTTGGATGCTGTCATTTTCCCACTCTGCAGTCAGTCCTTTCTCCAACTCCTAGCATCTGGCATCCAGTTACTTACCATTTGTCTATAATTTTCTATTTTTAAAATGTCACATAAATGGAATTATATAATATGAGCTTACTTGTATCTCACAACTCTCAATTTTCTCTCAACTCTCTACTTTCTTCTTTGATTAGTGGGTTAATAGAAGTATGTTGGTTAATTTCAAAATGTGGGGTGGGGATTCTCCAGGTACATCTCTGTTAATTTTGTATATTTGGAGAACACATACATATCTTTTCTCCTATGTTTTCATTTCCCTCCTTTTTGCCTCCTTTCTTTTGGATGGCTTGGAAGTTGTTTTTTTTTTTTTTTTAAACTATGTGACCCTATGCAAGGTAACTAAGTTGGAAGATCTGTTACATCCCCCTGAATAGTTTCTTCACTTCCCAAGAACAAGGTTTTCATGACCTACTCACATGACATCATTTATGCCAATCGATCTGTGTTCAACTTAATGAATTTTAAAAAATCAGACATATTTATGTAATCAAAACCCAAATCCAGATTTAGATCATCACTACCTAGTCAATACTTGCCCTCCTGGAGAAAACAGTTTTCCAGATTCTTAACAATGTAGATTCACTTTTTTCTATTCTTGAATTTTATATGGCTGAATCATACAGAATATGCTCCATATATGTGTGTGTGTTAGTCGCTCAGTTGTGTCTGACTCTTTGCGACCCTATAGACTATAGCCTGCCAGGCTCCTCTATCCATAGAATTCTCCAAACAAGAGTACTGGAGTGGGTTGCCATTCCATTCTCCAGGGGATCTCCCTGACCTAGTGATTGAACTGGGTCTTCCACATTGTAGGCACATTCCTTACCATTTGCGACACCAGGGAAGTCCCAATATTATATATACACATACCAAAAAAAGATGATCAGCATCACTCCAGTGGTATCTCTGGGAAAGGGAATGATTGGCAAGAGAAGAGTTGACAGAAAATACAACAAATTTTTTATGTATCGTGAAAATTTACCATATATGGCAAGAATGTTTTCATGTAATACTTATACCATTAAAAATAAATATTTCTAAATGGCAGGATTGTTCTGAAATTCAATATGGAAATAGTGTTTAAAAAAGTCTAAAAACCAGAAACATCAATAAATACTAAGTCATTAATATGAAAATTTCATGAGTTCACTCATACCTGTAAGACATGGAGGTTATGTAACACAATTATTAGAAATATGTTTCTATACATCCATATAGAGCCAACCCTCATATAAGACCATTGTATAATTTTATGGCCACAAAACTTTGCTGACACCTTCTCCACATGGAAAGGTCCTATTGTTCCATTTTTTTTTGCTTAAAACTTCTTCTGAAAATTAAAGTGTGTATATGTTGGGGGTGGGGCAGGAGGAAGCCTGAAAACCTGCACTGCATCATTTATATCTGTGTCTTTAGAAGGAATGTGCCACTCAGCAAATCTTTCTTTAATAGTGTTCTTGAGAATAATTTCTGTCTCTGTATACCTATAGTCAATCAATAGAAACCATGCTATAAATGTTAAAATCAGATCTATAATTTTGTCATTCGAATGTCAAGGACAAATCAATTTGGTTTTATACTTTACCCAAAAGTTTAATACTGTTAATCACCATCTCCAACCTTTACACAGAGGTGCACACACATACAGACACACAAATGAAAAGTAATATCAGTCACAGTAAGGTCATATTCTATAGCTCTGTTTTTCTAACAGGGCAGGTTCTCTCAGGGTTATAGTCTACTCCATTTTCTAGTAGTATTAGGGGTAGAATATGTACTGTCCAGTGAAGTGTCACATGAACTTCAATATATAAATATGCAATCTTAGAAAATCTGTAAGTGGGCAACAAAGAAAGTGAGAGCATACTCTGTACATTCATAGGGAAACTCAAGACAAATATATCTGTAGTGAGAATTTCCATCATAAGAGTTGCTGAGCAACATTTTCTCAAAAACGAGAACACAAAACCACCTCATTTTTTTCTTTTTAACAGCTAAGGAGATCAATTGCATGTTCTCTAAATAAGGCTTTCCGCTAAAGATAACACCTTGATTTCCACAAGAAGAGAGTGGCTTGGTGTTTACCAAGAAGAAATACTATGGAATCTTCCTTTTAACGCTGTTTAAAACGTGAATGTATCTGTAACATCTTCCACAGCTTGAGACCTTGTTATTTCAGAGATCAGCAAGGTATATACTATGAAATGAGGTATATGATTTAGGCTTTGAGAACCCTGAGGCTCCAGGGCATTTACTGTAATAGGCTCATGAAATAAATGAATTGGGCTCAAACCCCATGGTTTCTTGAACATGAATATAATTATAAAAATTCAAAACAACAAATTAAATGTGTTCACATGTAATATCCATATTTGAATCAGATTACCACCTGCCTGTTGTGTATATGCTAACTGATCAAATGACACTGTCTCAAACATGAATTTCTCATTGCCTTCAACAAAAATCCACTACCCAGCATATTTCTGATACCAGAGAGTCAATCTTTCTAGTGATACTTAGCATTATTCAAGGTGTGTTAAAAAAAAAAGATAAAAATATCATGTGTTGTGCCACATACAGATTTTAAAGAGCTTCAAAAAATAATCAATCTATACTTTTTGTTCCCTATGAATGTGAATTCCTTATCTTATAAAAGGAACTTAAACTGAAGGACTACAATATAATACCAATTTAGAGACAATTATACATTTAGGAACAAAAAAGAAAGCCAAAAAAGAAAAAAGACTCACTATTAATCACTTTGGTAAATAATCAAAAGCCCATTCTAAAACTTCCCCTTACTCAATTCCTTTAGCTTATAACTCCATGTTTTATATTCTAAGTCAATCTTTCTTTTAAGTTGTAACTGTTTATTAGTGAACTCAGAATATCTGAGTGGTAACAGATAGCTCCCTTGAAAGTCTGGCTACATACCTAGAGCTGCAACTTTTATGATGATTGCTTGAATGTTAGATGATATCATCTCTTGGAGCAAATCTTCCTGGTTTCTCTGCCAAAGGTAAGTTAAAGGCTGGAGATTAAGCCTTTTACACCTATAAAATAATTTTTAAAAAATCACATAACATTTTAATGTTCTATACTTAGATCCATAGCAATTACTTTGATTTTAAACATACTGCTTCTCTCAAGGATTTTAGCATATAAAATACTTTAAAAAGTATGTTTTGCATAATGAAATTTATGTACACAACATAAACATATTTAATTTCCACAAGCTATTCCTAAACAGATAAAAATGAAATCTCCAGGCAGATTAGAAATATTAATTTTAGTAAGACTAAATCGATGCAAAAAGTTTCCAAATGCTAATGGATGATTATTCTTGTTTTTAGAACTTCCTTAGGAGTCAAAAGTGCAAAGCTTATGCAAAATAGGCAAATAACTGTATCCTAATAAAATACTCATATTAATTAGGATAAATTTATATCCTAATAAATAGGAAATAATCCTATCTTAAAAAATAATCATATACTGATTAAATTTATAGTATCTATGGTTATATGAACTACTCTTACCCAACTTTGAAACTTTTTTTAAGGGTAGAGATAAATTGAAATATGAGTTAACAGATAAAAATTATCTATTATATATATAAAATAGACAAACAACAAGGGTTTACTGTGTAGTACAGGGAACTGGAATTATATTCAATATTTTATAATAACCTATAATGGAAAATTTAGAACTGGATATCGAACAACAGACTGGTTCCAAATAGGAAAAGGAGTACGTCAAGGTTGTATATTGTTATGCTGCTTATTTAACTTATATGCAGAGTACATCATGAGAAATGCTGGGCTGGAGGAAGCACAAGCTGGAATCAAGATTGCTGGGAGAAATATCAATAACCTCAGATATGGAGATGACACCACCCTGATGGCAAAGTGAAGGTGAACTAAAAAGCCTCTTGATGAAAGTGAAAGAGGAGAGTGAAAAAGTTGGCTTAAAGCTCAACATTCAGAAAACTAAGATCATGGCATCTGGTCCCATCACTCCATGGGAAATAGATGGGGAGACAGTGGAAACAGTGCCAGACTTCATTTTGGGGGGGCTCCAAAATCACTGTAGATGGTGACTGCAGCCATGAAATTAAAAGACGCTTACTCCTTGGAAGGAAAGTTATGACCAACCTAGATAGCATATTAAAAAGCAGGGACATTACTTTGCCAACAAAGGTCCGTCTAGTCAAGGCTATGGTTTTTCCAGTGGTCATGTATGGATGTGAGAGTTGGACTGTGAAGAAGGCTGAGCGCCTAAGAATTGATGCACTGAACTGTGGTGTTGGAGATGACTCTTGAGAGTCTTGGACTCAAGAGACCCTTGGACTGCAAGGAGATCCAACCAGTCCATCCTAAAGGAGATCAGTCCTGGGTGTTCATTGGAAGGACTGATGTGGAAGCTGAAACTCCAGTACTTTGGCCACCTCATGTGAAGAGTTGACTCATTGGAAAAGACCCTGATGCTGGGAGGGATTGGGGGCAGGAGGAGAAGGGGACAACAGAGGATGAGATGGCTGGATGGCATCACCAACTCGATGGACATGAGTTTGAGTAAACTCTGGGAGTTGGTGATGGCCAGGGAGGCCTGGTGTGCTGTGATTCCTGGGGTTGCAAAGAGTCAGACATGATTGAGCGACTGAACTGAACTGAACTGATAATGGAAAATAATCTGGAGAAAATATATGACTTTGCTATATACTGAAACTGTGCTATACCTACTTTGCTATACACTTTGTTATACTTTGCTATATACCCGAAACTAGCATAATATTGTAAATCAACTATACTTCAATACAAAAGAGAAAAAAGGTGAAAAGATATTTTAACAAAAACAAGCATAAAGAATTAAGAATAAGCATAACTATAATGACAGGAAAAAAAAAGAATTCATGTCTGAGTGGAAAGAAAGAAAACAGTAATAACAAAAAGTGCATACACTGAGCACCTAATATGCTGCAGGTACTGTACTACAAATTGTACATTATGGTGCTGGAAGAAGAATTCGGATTTTGGAATCCAGACAAATTTGAGTTTGAAACCTCCTCCTAAACTCACTAGCTGCATGACTTTAACAAGTCAGAGCTAAGCTTTAATTTTCTAGCTCATATATAGGGACAAAAATATTTCTTTTTTTTTTTTTTAAATATTTCTTTCCAAAGTTCTTAAGAAGATTACAATATTAGAAAGTGAAGGCAGCCTTTATCCCTCTTTTCTTCACATTCTACATCTACCACAATGCAGAATACAATCACTCCTCCCCAGTAACATGCTCCCCAGCTGGTAACATGCTGGTCAGAGCCATCACTATCTTTCTGCATACTGGATCCTAGTTCCCAACCAGGGACTGAACCCATCCGCATGCAGTGGAAGCACAGAGTCTTAATCACTGGATTGCCGGAGAAGTTTCCATTCTTGTCCTTTTAAAACAATTTTCAATATAATAGTCGGCGTGATCCTTTCAAAACATAAATGGGTCACGGAATTCCTCTGCTCTAAAGCCTCCCTTATCACTCCTAGTAAATAAACCCTGCAGGGATCCCACCCTGGTCGGCTCTCATACCTCACCTCCCACTACACTCCAGCCTGCCCTCCCCTACTCCCCCAGCCTGCTCACTCTTGTCTAACATACTTGCCATGTTCCCTACCTTCCTCATTTGCTTCATGCCTTTAGTTAGATATAACTTCCTAAGGGAGGATTAATTAATTAAAAATAATATAGATTAACTGATAATTAATAAAAAGTAATATAGATTAAATTATTGCACAATGCCTGGATAAACTAGGTATTCAATAAACAGTAAAGACAAGTGATTCACTCTAGTCACACTGTAAGTGGTTGAGCTCAAATTTCAAGTAAAAAAATATAGCTCTAAGCTCTACTATCCCCGGTGTCAGCAAGGCTTCCTGGATGACTACTCCAGCAGACATGGAACTCTCTGTCTTGCAGAAAATCCCAATACTTATTAAAGGTACCACATATTTGGTCATTTACTCATACATGGTCTTAAGAAATATTAATACCACTTTTTTTTTTCTTGCACATATACCTTGACTTTCAAAGAAATCAAGATCTTCCTTAATGTTGAGACTGTTTTATATAATTTTCCTTTGTAAAATGTCCTGAGCATCTAAATCAATGATGAGACAATGCTGAGGCATTTAATAAACATAAAATAATAAAACTGTAACTACCCACGTAACACAAGCATTACAGTTTTTGCTGTCCTATCACCAATATTTAATGTCTACTAACCAGATTTTTCTCTCCATATTTTTGAGGTAAAGATTTTTTGGTTGTTTTTTTGAAGAAAACTTTATTCCTTCCTGGCCTTACTGGAAAATTCTTGGCTGTTTCTTTGGTATTCCTGATCTATTGAGTATTTTTAGACTTAAGTCATATTTCTTTGGGGTCTTCCCTGGTGGTGCAGTGGTAAGAATCTGACTGCCAATGCAGGAGATTCAGGTTTGATCCCTTGGTGGGGAAGATGCCCTGGAGAAGGTAATGGCAACCCACTCCAGTATTCCTGCCTGGAGAATCCCATGGACAGAGGAGTCTGGTGAGCTACAGCCCATGGGGATGCAAAAGAGTTGGACATAAGGAGCCTAGTAGGCTACAGTCCATTGGGTCACAAAGAGTCGGACATGACTGAGCGAATTCACTTCACTTCACTTCACTAGCGACTAAACAACAGTATTTCTTTACCTATTTAAATTCTTTAACAGTATAAAATATCATGGTTGAAATAGTTTCCTCTATAAATCACTACTGTATTTGAGCTTGTGACATCTATTAATCTCTTTATATCTCAAAAATATAATGAAGAAATTACAAATTGGAGACTGGCTAATTCAAAATTGAGTTTGTAGACCAATGGCTCCCAATAAAGAAAGTTAAGTCGCTCAGTTGTGTCTGACTCTTTGCAACCCCATGGACTGTAGCTTACCATGCTCCTCTGTGCATGGGATTTTCCAGGCAAGAGTACTGGAGTGCATTGTCATTTCCGTCTCCAGAGGATCTTCCCAACCCAGGGACCAAACCTGGGTCTCCTGAATTGTAGGCAGACGCTTTAATATTTGAGCCACCAGCGAAGATTAAAAAGAAAATACTGCAGATATGCTTTTTTTTCTCTCTCTTTTTTGGTGCTGAAACCCAGGAATGAAGAGATGTGCTTTATGGTATATATATGGTTATACTACATATACCGTATATATATGGTTATATATATACATATATATATATATGTATATATATATGGTTAAACTATTTGTTGAACTGTACCTGAGATTGCATTTTGAGAAACAGTTTGCCTCCACTTTTGAGTATCCAATGGGCCCCTCTCTCATGTAGATATAAAGTGGCTTCCCAATAGGAGCACATTTTTATATTCTCCATAAAGCTTCCATAAATAGATGTCAGTCCTACCTATAGTTTGGCTACCCATAAAATCACATACTTTTGAATTTATTCAAAAGCAAAGATTTTTACACAAAATATTCTCAGAGAATATGACTTAAAACTGGATGAGAATAATATTACTTTTAACATTTGGCTAAGGGATAGTCAATCCATCTCCGTCTATAAACCAGTTCAGTTCAGTCGCTCAGTCATGTCCGACTCTTTGCAACCCCATGAATTGCAGCACTCCAGGCCTCCCTGTCCATCACCAACTCCCAGAGTTTACTCAAACTCATGTCCATTGAGTTGGTGATGCCATCCAAATATCTCATCCTCTGTCGTCCCCTTCTCCTCCTGCCCTCAATCTTTCCCAGCATCAGGGTCTTTTCAAATGAGTCAGCTCTTCGCATCAGGTGGCCAAAGTACTGGAGTTTCAGCTTCAGCATCAGTCTTTCCAATGAACACCCAGGACTGATCTCCTTTAGGATGGACTGGTTGGATCTCCTTGCAGTCCAAGGGACTCTTAAGAGTCTTCTCCAACACTACAGTTCAAAAGCATCAATTCTTCGGTGCTCAGCTTTCTTTATAATCCAACTCTCACATCTATACATGTCCACTGGAAAAACCATAGCCTTGACTAGACGGACCTTTGTTGGCAAAATAATGTCTCTGCTTTTTAATATGCTGTCTAGGTTGGTTATAACTTTCCTTCCAATGAGTAAGCGTCTTTTAATTTCATGGCTGCAATCACCATCTGCAGTGATTTTGCAAATGCAGGCAGACAGAACACAAGGAAAACTTTTTCAAAATACACATTACTATCTCACATGGGAGGTGGGGGAGATGGGAGGAGTAACAGTCTAATAATTCCTTTAAAGTTGAATGGGCTTTTATAGAAATATTTCAATCTCATGAATATTCTTTTCCAAGAACTGAGTCTGAAGAACCAAAGAAGATATTACTTAATATATATTTTCCTTTAAAATATTACTACACTACTTCTATTTGCTCCTGATTTTTATTACAAATGATAATGAGTTAAAAATATTAAAAAGTTACACCATTTCAAATTAGGGAAATTTGAGAATAATACTTCAAAAAAACCTTTGCTTCAAGTTTTATTATAATTTTTCCTTATGGTAAGTAAGTAAGTTTTCTCATGTAGAGATATAAAGATAGAAAAAAGAGTAAAAATGCAACTTCTGTTACTTAGGGCAATATATTTAGTTTCATGGGACATGTGGTGATGGTGGTGGTTTAGTCACTAAGTCGTGTCTGACTCTGCGATCCAATGGACTATAGCCCACCAGGCTCCTCTATCCATGGGACATGTATAATACTTGATCTATTTATTATTTGGGTAAAATTATTTATTTTTCATTAATTTTCATTCTTAAATTACTACATTTAAAAAATATAAGACAAATTAATGTTCTCTTACACATTTTCTACTCGAACACGCTGATAGTCAGAGAGTATAGCACCTACTGATATTCCCTCTACTTCTTCTTTTTCCTGAAAATAAAGCAAAACATGTTTTAAAAAATAAATAAATATGTGACTCTGTATTATGTTCTAAAAATTATAAATGAATTGTTTCACTTGATATCCTTTTAAAAATTCACTGATATTTGACAGAAATTTCTATTTAAGGACAATGTCTTCTCAGATTGAGTAACTTAAAAAAAATTGAACCAATGGTTGAGTTCAGTCGCTCAGTCGTGTCTGACTCTTTGTGACCCCATGGACTGCAGCATGCCAGGCCTCCCTGTCTATCACCAACTTCCAGAGTTTACTTAAACTCATGTCCATCAAGTCGGTGATACCATCCAACCATCTCATCCTCTTGTCATCCTCTTCTCCTCCTGCCTTAAATATTTCCCAGCATCATGGTCTTTTCAAATGAGTCAGTTCTTTGCAGCAGGTAGCCAAACTACTGGAGTTTCAGCTTCAGCATCAGTCCTTCCAATGAATATTCAGGACTGATTTCCTTTAGGATGGACTGGTTGGATCTCCTTGTTGTCCAAGCAACTCTCAAGAGTCTTCTCCAACACCACAGTTCAAGCACATCAATTCTTTGGTGTTCAGCTTTCTTTATAGTCCAACTCTCACATCCATATATGACTACTGGAAAAACCATAGCTTTGACTAGATGGACCTTTGTTGGCAAAGTAATGTCCCTGCTTTTTAATATGCTGTATAGGTTGGTCATGACCTTCCTTCCAATGAGCAAGTGTCTTTTAATTTCATGGCTGCAGTCACCATATGCAGTGATTTTGGAGCCCCCCCAAAATAAAGTGTGCCATAAGTTTCCAGTGTTTCCTCATCTATTTGCCATGAAGTGATGGGACTGGATACCATGATCTTAGTTTTCTGAATGTTGAGTTTTAAGCCAGCTTTTTCACTCTTTTCTTTCACTTTCATCAAGAGGCTCTTTAGTTCCTCTTCACTTTCTGCCATAACGGTGGTGTTATCTGCATATCTGAGGTTATTGATATTTCTCCTGACAATCTTGATTCCACCTTTTGATTCCTCTAGCCCAGCATTTCTCATGATGTATTCTGCATATAAGTTAATAAGTAGGGGGATAATATACAGCCTTGACGTACTCCTTTCCAGATCTGGAACCAGTCCATTGTTCTATGTCCAGTTCTAACTGTTGCTTCTTGACCTACATATAGGTTTTTCAGGAGGCAGATCAGGTGGCCTGGTATTCCCATCTCTTTCAGAATTTTCCAGAATTTGTTGTGGTCCACACAGTCAAAGGCTTTGGCATAGTCAATAAAGCAGAAATAGATGTTTTTCTGGAACTCTCTTGCTTTTTTGATGATCCAATCGATGTTGGCAATTTGATCTCTGGTTCCTCTGCCTTTTCTAAATCCAGCTTGAACATCTGGAAGTTCACAGTTCACATACTGTTGAAGCCTGGCTTAGAGAATTTTGAGCATTACTTTGCTAGGATGTGAGAAGAGTGTAACTGTGCAGTAATTTGAGCATTCTTTGGCATTGCCTTTCTTTGGGATTGGAATGAAAACTGACCATTTCCAGTCCTGTGGCCACTGCTGAGTTTTCCAAATATGCTGGCATATTGAATGCAGTGCTTTCGCAGCATCATCTTTTAGGATTTGAAATAGCTCAGCTGGAATTCCATCACCTCAACTAGCTTTGTTCATAGTGATGCTTCCTAAGGCCCACTTGACTTCACATTCCAGGATGTCTGGCTCTAGATGAGTGATCACACCATCATGATTATCTGGGTCATGAAGATCTTTTTTGTATGGCTCTTCTGTGTATTCTTGCCACCTCTTCTTAATATCTTCTGCTTCTGTTAGTTCCATGCCATTTCTGTCCTTTATTGTACCCATCTTTACATGAAATGTTCCCTTGGTATCTCTAATTTTCTTGAAGAGATCTCTAGTCTTTCCCATTATATTGTTTTCCTCTATTTCTTTGCATTGATCACTGAGGAAGGCTTTCTTATCTCTCCTTGTTATTCTTTGGAAATCTGCATTCAAATGGGTATATCTTTCCTTTTCTCTTTGCCTTTCACTTCTCTTCTTTTCACAGCTATTTGTAAGACCTTGTCAGCAAACATTTTGCCTTTTTGCATTTCTTTTTCTCAGGGATGGTCTTGATCACTGCCTCCTGTACAATGTCATGAACCTCTGTCCATAGTTCATCAGGCTTTCTGTCCATCAGATTTAATCTCTTGAATCTATATGTCACTTCCACTGTATAATTGTAAGTGATTCCACTGTATAATCATAAGCAATGGTATAAGAAGACAAAGGAATACAATGATTTTTATCTGTATCTTAAAAAAAAAAAAGATTGGCAGAGGAACATACAGGAAGTAGAGACGATAGAGGATAAAGAAATCTCAAATAAGAAGGACACAATGAAATCTTGTCAACAGAGTTACAAGTCAGAACACCCAACAGTATATTCAGCAGTATCCCCCATGGATGAGGGCTAACCTATCTATCTAGCACACCCACTAAAAATGTAATTTCAAATATGATCAAGTTTGCAGATGAAAGCTAGAATGGATTAAAAAGAAAAGAAGATCAATCAAGTACCTCGATGGATATGGACAACACAGGGATCTGGAAGGACAGGCCCCAAATGAGATTTAATGAAAGGAAGTATAAAATAATACACTAAGGGAAGAATCATACACAACACAGGTATAAATTAGGGAACTGTTATCTAGAAAACAGATATGAAAAAAGTAACTAGTGGTGATTACTAATAACAAACTGAACAGAAATTCTCTGAATAGACATAAAAGAAAAGTCATCCTAGACCTATGGAGTACAGAAGAAACTACTTAAGAGAGATGATTTCTTTATTAACACTCTGGTTTTTCCAAACTTGAAAAACTACAAAGTACAGCAGCGTTTCACATAAAAATAAATGTAATACTTTGAGATATTCTAAAATAACCTTGAATGTCCTAAAACGATGCTATAATAAATAAACAAAAATGAACAACAGGAATCTCTCATGTCTTTGAAGACTAAAGCAAATTTAAAATTTCTACTCTAAAATGATAGAGAAATATCTTCCCAAATTTCCTCAAAATAAATAGATTCTCCAGGAAAAGAGCCATTTCCTTTGTTTTTTTTATTTCAGCAACTTTGTAAGAACATTTGCTTGTGACCTGTCTCTAACCTTCCCAGCCACTTTATTTTTTATAAAAGTCATTGTATTAGTAGAAAAAAGGCAAAGTGTAGTGTTTCTCGTTACATGCAAATATGGCATAGATTACAGAGTAGTGAGTGATATTATTAACAAGATCAACATTTCAGTTATATTCTTATACTATATATTGTTTATCTGAAGTTCTGTCAAAAGAAAATGTAAGGTCTTGAATATTATATATAGGTGTGTGTCTGTGTGTGTTTCTCAATAAATCATGAAAACAAATATCAGTCATTGAAGTTTTCTTTGCACACTAAGTCAAGACACTTTTGACATTTATTATCTATTTAAAATGGGTTAATGTTCTATCATTCTCATTTATTATTCACCATAACCCCAAAATTATTATTATTTAATTCCTTTTAGTCTACATGAAGTCTCTGGAATTCTCTTCTATTTCTCTCATTTTCTATTTCATAATATTGAACTAATCAGTTCTAGAATTACATACCCAGCTAAATTTGGCTGTTCTTCGATCTAAGCCTACATAAATAAAGATTATTAGTTACACTTTTTTTTCAACAATCATCATTACTACTACCCATTAGAAATTCAGTCCTATTACCTATTTAGCTCTGTGATTTTGAACAAGTTATATAATTTCTCTGTTTCTTAGTTTCCTTATCTATATAGTGAAGATAATTATAGCTCTGTTTTTGAGGGTTATTATGAACACTGAGTAAAATAATACAGAAAAATAATAGTGACAAGCATCTAGTAAGCAGAGTAAATACTTTCTTCTGTCACTATAAATCTTCTTTATTTTTACTAATATTATTCTATAACTATTTCAGCTACTACTCCTACTATTGCTACTGCTAACTACCACCACCACCACCACTACTGTTACTACTACTACAACTAAATAAAGGCCTAACTTGACAGACAAAGCCCTTCATTCCTGGGCTTTAATCTCTTGCTCATTATTACTTTTTAACAAAGGTTCCCCAACTTGTTATAGTTAATTTTATGTGTCAATTTGACTAGGCTAAGGCGTACCTAGATTGAACATCTAGTACCTGATAAAACATCATTTCTGTAAAGATGTTTCTGGAAGAGATTATGATTTGAAGTGGTAGACTGGGTAAGGAAGATAGCCCTAATCAATACAGGTGAGCATCGTCCAATCTCTTGAGGGCCTGAATAGAACAGAAAAGTAGAGGAAGGGCATATTTACTCACTTGAGCTGGGACATCCACCTTCTGTCCTCAGACATCAGTGTTCCTGGTTCTGGGGCTTTTGGACTCAGACTGAGATTTAAAACACTGGTCCTCTTGTTCTCAGGCTTTGGGGTTTGGATGGAACTATATCACTAGTTTTTTAGGCCCCCAGTCTGCCAGTGGCACAGCATGGGACTTCTCAGGTTCCATGATCAGATGAACTAATCCCTCAAAACAAATCTCTTTCCATATATCTTTATATATTCTATTGGTCTTGTTTCTCTGGAGAATCCTGACTAATACACAATCCTTGACAACCAACTCTACAGTCCAGTTACAAACTTTTCAAACCTAGTGAGCCCCGGACAATCCAAAGATTAAGTAAGACTTTTGTTGAACCCTTATCATTCAGAACATACTACTAATTTTGAAGAAAGACAAAACACATCTTTAAAAGGTAAATATCTAGCAGATAGTCAATCTAGTCTGTAGAAAATACAGAGCTAAGCTCAGGTCCTAATCTGTGACTCATACCATTTGGGCGAAAAGTTGGTAAATTAACAAGGTGTGTGTGCTTCCTACAAGTCATGGCACCCTCAGGGTCATATACTGAGTCCTCTTCTCACTCTGTGCCCTGCTTCTTGAGGTTCT